CTATCTATCTATCTATCTATCTATCTATCTATCTATCTATCTATCTACACACACACACATACATACATACATACATATTTCCCTGCAAATCAAGAATCATATCACAGTCAATATTTTTGACAGTAATATTTTATTCCTGCTCTGCTGCTGTTATTGTTTTGAGTGGGGGAGATCTGTTGTTTTTGTTTCATTTTTCATTTGTTTTGAGTTTTTTCTATTGGAGGAAGCATTTAAAAATGTGATTCTAAATCCCAGTATTGTACACTTGGATTCTGAAACACCAAGTTCTTGTGTACCTAAATGTTTATCTCCTAACGTAGAACGTTCCAAATTGCCCAAGAAATGGGGACAATTATATAGAGTTAAGAAATGGCAGTTTATGTTTTTAAATATTTTCTTTTTGTTTAATAAAAAAAATAATTAAATAAAGAAATGGCAGTTTCCAATCAAAACAAAAAACAAGGATGCAGTGAAAAGGTCCAGTGATGTTCTGGCCTTCACTTTGAGTTCACAGATTGTATTTTGGACCCAATTTTTAAAAGTGTCATAATATTCTTTGATCTAAGTGAGAAAAGCTGCCTATCAAACCCTGATGCTCTTCACTTATCCAAGATTGTTTTGAGAAGCAAATGAATGTATGTTCGTGGCTTTTATTTCTATTAATCCACAAAAATTCACAGTGATTCCCATCAGGTTGTATGGAAGCATATGGCTTCTCTCCAAAACCATTTTGATGTAGCTGAAATCGATAAGGAAACTGTCCCTTCCACACTTATGATCAACAAGTACCAAATCCTATGAAGAGAGAAGACCAAGTTGTGTTGGTCTTTGTGGAGACTGGTCCTTGCAAAAAAAGTGGTGATCTCACAAATGACCTTTTCTGTTGCAAGGACTATCTATTACACAGGCTGGAGCAAAGTTCTCATATCTGGATTATAGAGGATTGTACCCCTTTTGTGTTTCATTGGAGAACAATAGAATAAAGATAGAACTAACTTCTAGCTTTCACTCTTCTCAATTCCATTCTTGCAACAGAAAAAAAGGCAGTTATGAGAGCTGATCTCTGTATAAATCAGATTAAGGATTTTCGAGTGCCATGTTCAAGTACTTTTTAAAATATTCCATTAGTCTATGCTTTAAAGAGATATTTGGGACAGTGCAAATGATTAGTGGCCAAACAACTTCCAAACAACATCCCCAAAAGTTTCCATCAGACAGAACCAGTCAGAAAAATGCAGGATGAGCAGTTATGTTTATAATGACTGATAGTGACTGATTTAACAGAATAACCAAATTGGAAGGGGCCTTGGAGGTCTTCTAGTCCAACCTCCTGCTCAAACAAGATACCCAATACCAGAGGTGGTATTCAGCAGGTTCTGACCAGTTCTGGAGAACCGGTAGAGGAAATTTTGAGTAGTTCAGAGAACCCGCAAATCCCACCTCTGACTAGAGATTTTACAGTATCCTTCCCCTGCCACGCCTACCAAGCCATGGCCACAGAACCAATAGTAAAAAAATTTGAATCCCACCACTACCTGATACCATTTCAGACAAGCGGTTGTCCAGTCTCTTCCTAAAAGCCTCCAGCAATGGGGCATCCACAACTTCTTAAGGTTGCTTCTCTCTTTGATTAGTTTCGACCCATTGTTTCTTATTTTGCCTTCTGGTGCTTTGGAAAATAGATTGACTCTTCTTCTTTGTGGCAGCCCCTTAAATATTGGGACACTGTTGCCCCTAGTCCTTCTTTTTCACTGGACAGAATAACAGATTTCAAGCCACTTAAAAACTTTTGTCTGGAGATTTCAGCAAGGGTGTTCAAAAACGATATGTAATTGTTTATCATAATCTTGGTTTGAGATACATCTGCTACAAATTTTCTGATTAAATTACATGGGCTTTGTTTTTTTATCCTCATTCTGAACAGGATGGGACTTGCAATCCACTGTACATTAACCAGTTATAAAAAAAACAACAGTTGAAAAATTATAATCAATAAGATAACTAAAGTGCAATCTTATATTAACAAAATGATTTATTTAAATGTTAAAATAGGAATAGAAATGAGATTCATATAAAACATGCAGTAGACAAAAAAGAAAATTTAATGAGATGAGAAGATGTTCAGATCTGGTTCCCTATAAATCTGGTGTGTGTGTGTGTGTGTGTGTATGCTCATGAACGCATATCTGTTTATCTCTGTGTTCATCTATAATGAATATTGATTAGGCAGATGAACTTTCTTTGGGAATCTTTCTAGGGCAGTGAACTTTATCTTTTGCTGCTTACTGGAAACTGAGAGACCTTGTGATTTATGGTTCGATGATTAGAAAGAATTGGTTACAGAAAGAAGGAAATTATAATGTAATCTTAAAGAGAGGACTGCTTAAAATTGTAGGTATGGCTGCTAAGAGGAAAGCCAAAAGCCATTCCTTTTGTGGGATCTGTGGTGCTGTTTGAGCTTGCTTGTTTTCTTGTAGTTGTTTCATTAGTAATGAAAAAAAGCCAAAAAGGAAACAAAACGATCAAAATACTTCCCCACCAGCAATCAATACCCAGATAAGCAGAGATTAATGCCAAGACTAATACTAGATCAACAATTGGTATAATACTAGTCCAGGAGCTACCAGCTCAGGCAAACAAGCTAACAGTAACCACAGCCTAAATCAAAGAACCAACAACCACATTCCCTCCAGTACAGACAAGGCAAGCCGTTAACATATAAAATGAGTGCAAACCCCACTTCCTTTTAGTACTGATGATGTTACCTAACCAAGTAATGAAATGTGTGTAAGAAAACAACCAAGTTCAGAGAGCACCAAGGACCCCACAATTAAGCCCTGAGCTGCAAATATTGTCTTCCATCATAGCCATTGCTTTTATTTTCCTTTCATGTTTTCTATTTTTTTTCCTTTCCTTTTTTCTATCTTCTTTTTCTCTGTATCATCTTTTTCTTTCTTTTTCCCCTTCTTTTTTCATTTACTATATCTTTTTCTTTCAGGGTGTGTCTTATTAAACATGTAAAATCTTTTAATAAAAACTATTTTAAAAAGAAAATTGGGGCAATAGGACCGAATTTAACGGTAGATTGCTAGAGATTATAGTAGATAATTAAGGGTAATCTATTTAGCAAAAGCAAGAATTAAAACATCCCTCTTTGTCATACACAACACAAGAAGCACATTTTGAGAACACTTTACCGTGGAAAACAAGAAACGTGCTGCAGTATATACAGAGAGACCTACTAAAGCCACAACTGGGCATCTAATGTGATGCTGTTATAAAAACAAAGCGGGGGAAACAATCCCACAAACCTCAAATTTGCTCACTCTGATAGCAATGTTGCTGAGTTATTTTGGAATGAATTGTTCTATAACAAAATCAACGGCAGAGCAATGGATTAAATGATGATCCTTTGATCTGGGACTTTCAATTAAGGCTTTGACACTTTCATTACTGTTTCCTTACTGTCAAATATGGTCATATCAGATCATTCTTGAGTTATAAGTACAAAATATAGAATGACACTGATCAAGGAAGTCCCAGGCATCAGGTTGTTATTTCTAGTGTTGATGTCAGTGTGTTGTATATGCGTTGGAATTTCTATAGTTGGTGTGCACTGTTGACCAGGCAAGGTGAAAGTTTCTGAAGATAATCTTATTTGATATACTTTGTGTTTGCTTTTTAATTTTACTTATGGGAGTTGTTTGCATCACCATGTTCATCTACGTTCATCCAAAGATCTACAAAGTTCATCTTTGGTTCTTATATTCTATTGTGGAACATTGAAACTATTGCATTGGATTATGGGTATAGGAAGACCTAACTTGTTACTTCATTTTGGAAATCTAAGTACATTAGAAATATGCATCCATTTATCAAAGTATGGGACAGCATGAGAGAAAGCAAGAAGATGTAACAAAAATGCAATAGATTTTATTGTGTTATCATGATGGTTATTGTATTGCTTGACTTGAGATGAAGTGTCAGGGCTGTGTTGAGTACAAGATTGTATTCCTCTATTCCATATCTATCATGTAAGTCAATTTAAGGTGATACAATAGCATTTTCTGCCATATCTGGAGACTTGCAAATTAATGATGTGAGGGGAACATGCAGAATTCAGTCCTCCAAAATCCATTTCCCATGAGCTCAGCATCTGCTATGTAAAATGGCCACCACTATCTACCTAATAGTAGAGATAGCCTTAGAGAAATCAATACTAGTTTTTGTTCCAAGCATTTGGCAAAGTGAACCCAGCAAAAGCCTTCCCTCTCTTTCTTAATCATTTTAGTAATGTTGCATTTACTACTCTTAATGTGTTCTCTTTGAGAAGAGCTGTTTCTTCCATCTTCAGATACCTGCTGCTGCTGCTGCTTTAGTTTCTTTTCTTTCTTGACAGTTTAACAGGTACAACTGTCCCTGATTTGATTGTCAGCACTCAACATCAGATGTGGCTCCTCTTCCAGACTGATAGTGTGAGGAACCTACTAGGGTTCAAAGCAACCTATGAAGGTAAATAAAATTTCTGCGTTGATTCCTTATTAGACAAACACAACTCACAAATACTTTACCCAGAAATCTCTTGACAAGAAAAAGTTATAGCTCTTTGTAATGATGAAGGACAATACGAGAAGTTCTCAACTTACGTCCACACTTGGGCTTGGAACTTCCATTGTTTAAGCAAGTTAAGTGAGTCACAGTTGATTTTATGACCTTTTTTGCCATGGTTGTTAAGTAAAGCATGTGCTCATTAACTGAATTTGGCTCCCCCCATTAATTTTGCTTGTCAGAAGCTGGCTGGGAGTTGCCAATGGTGATCATGTGACTCTGGGACACTGCAACCATCATAAATGTATGCTAGTTGCCAAGGGCTTAAATTTTGATCATCTGACTACAAGGATATTGCAACAACCATACATGCGAGGACCTGTCATAAGTCACTTTTTTCAGCAGTGTCATATCTTAGAATGGTCACTAAATGAATGGTTGTAAGCCAAGGAGTATCTTTAAGAGAGATGGGTTCATTGCAGTAGATTGCACTGTTTCTCTGATACCCTCTAAATATGTTAGACTTCCTGTCCCATTAGTCCCATGGCTAAAAGGATTAGTGATGCTGAGAGTTGGAATCCAACACATCTGAAGATTGCAGCATCTTTTATCTTACACTAGTAGGTTCCATATTTCCCATGCTACTTTCTGCTTTGCTAGGGAAACACCTGGTGTGAGAATTAAGAGTACAACCTCTAGTACATGTAGCATCATAAAAGAGAAGGAGGAAAAAGATGACAGGTGTCATATTGGAATAAAGGCAGAATATAATTGTAATTACTAAAGCTAAACTCTCCAGTGTTATAAAGGCACATTTCACATGAGTGACTCGGTTTCCACAAAGCTGTGCCTGTTTCAGAGGGATGCCAGTTTCTACTTATCATTACAAGAAAATTACTTTCATGGATGGGTAGATGGTAAGAACAAGAAAAGAAAGTATATTGCTAGCACATGTCATATATGAGGGGTGTTCAAAGGCATCTAAAAAGTGAGAGGTTTTTTTATTGACTATAACTTTAAATATAACCAGAGTAGCTTTTGTGTTTGCTTCCGCTACTATGTTTGCTTAGTAGAATGAAAGCAAGCCACAATGTTGATAACAATGTATAAAGTTTTATTTTATGTTTTTAAAATTTGGAAACTTAATAAAATTTATTTTAAAAAAAAGAAAGCAAGGCACAATAAACTTACAAGTGGAGCAATTAAACAGTGAAAGATAACTATTTAAGATGCCTCTCCTGCTGAAGACTAGAGAGAACAATGCAAGATCTCTTGTGGGATGTTTTATACAGGCTTGTTACAAAGAAATACAACTTGGTTTACTTTTTTCCCTTTAATTATGTAATCTCACCTCCTAGAATTTGTCAACTAATTGAGGTTCTGGAAACTGATCATTAAATTTCTGCAATCATATTTTTTATCAACATAAGATCTTGCCTATATAAAATATTTTAACTGAAAAAGACAGAAATTTATGTTAGCACTTCCCTGAAAATTTTGCCCTTGACCATTAAATTGTAGCTCTTCTGTAGTTAATGACATATAAACATAGCTGTTTGTCCCCCCAGTAAAATTGTAGGTGTCCTTTAAAGAAACATTATTTCAGTTCAAGGCCTAATTAATTCCATTCAGGGCTATGCAACTTGTTAATCTTGCCTACTTTCAAGTCTTCTTTAGCAGTATAATATACTAATCCTCCATTTTTCTATGGATTTAAAACAAATATAGAAAATGTTGTAACCAAACGTTGACACGTCCAACAAATGAAAGTTTGGTAATATCTTAATCTACTGTGTTTTTAATTGAATTGCCCAATAATTTCTTCCAAAACATATCATCTTGATTTTGATTTCCGAAACACAGATTGTGACAGGGATGAAAACTTTAAAAATGTTAATTTCTGTGATGCAAACTCCCTTTTTTAATGTAATTACCACGGTTCCCAAATAACTTTCAGAAAGTCACATCCCCATTTGTTTTGCCTTCAAATTCAGAATACTATGCAGTCATTCTGTCTGGACTTTGAAAAACATGCTGTATGCTTTGAAATCTTGAACAACTTCAGGACTTTAATTTTGCTCCGCATACATTTGCTCACATAAAATATGGTTGATGTACACACCTTTTCTGTTGTGGCACTAGGGACATCCTCTTGAGATTTCCTACTTCCTCCTCAGTGTAAATAAAAGAGTCCTGAAAACTAGAAAAAATGATGATCATGTATATTTTATTGCTTTAGAATGTTTTATCATCTAGATGCTTGGGGATTTCAATGTAATTTAGGATTGGTTTATAGTACACTGCCCAGAGTCATTGTAGAATTAAACAGACTAAGACATTTAATAAAATAATTACAAGCATGCTTAAGTTTTGAAATCAAATCTAAAGCATTGCATAACTCTATTATATTAAAATTGAAATTAAAATAGTTATATGATTTGCTGTGTATTAGACCAGCAGAGTAATATCTCAAAGGGAGATGAAATTGCTCATCTTAAAAATAAAGTAAGAAATATTCTGTCCCTAAAACAAAGATGCTCTCAAACAGGAGAAGGGTTTTCATTCTGCATTGTTGAGGTAGCTGTATATTTCTCTCTCTTGGTGGGAGGGAGAGGGAAGGGAGGGATGGACAGTTCTTCAGTGTGGATTGAAAGTTTAAAGCTTAATACTTTTTCCTAAAAAATATCCTTCAAATTAAGGTTGAATCTTGGTGATTTCATTAACATACCAATGTTATCTTTGCAGTAGCATTTTTATTTTTGGGTGGAGGAACTTCCTAATGAAACTTTGGGATTTTCTGCTGGCCCCTCACGCAAGGGTTGTCAGTTTCCAGGGAGAGAACACTTAAACTCAACTCTGTTTAGCATTTGAACCCAGTTAAAACTGAAGAGGTGCTGCCAATACAATTAAATAATTGGAATGAGGACTGAAGCAAGCAGTTAATGCCTTCCCATTGCCTGTGGGTCACAATCCAAGTCTTAATACCCCATTGTCAGTTTCCAGAGAGAAAACATGACATTGAAGAAGAGAACTGTACAATTAAGGTCATCTGTAGCTCAGCTTGTGGATTATTCAAAAGGCTGAATTTTCATGTATTTAAGAGCATCCTTTTATCTTGTGACACAAGCATGCATCAGCACTCCTTCTACATAATTTGTTTCTGTTTGCAAACCATGCAACCTGTTTTCCCTGAGGCAAATTTCCTATCATTTGAACCAGATCAGTGAGATTTTCTACAAGCTCGATTTGATTATCCTTAAAGTTTGCTGGAGGTTATGAGAATCAAAGATCATGATGGCAAGAAGCCAACCTAAATATTTTAGGACATTGTCCTCTCTAGACCTACTGAACTTTGGCCATTTATCTGGGCATCTAATGGATGCATTCATGCAATTTCTTGGCAGCAATAAGGAAATAGATTGCCAGCGTCTTCTTTCTCAATGTTTTTTCAACTTCCCTTCTACCAAAAGCTCTAGTGTTACCTCCAGGTTTCCCATCCATGAACCAACGAGGTTCTGGTAAGCTTTTCAAATGCAACCAAGATTGATATACTAATGCACAAACACAAACATTAATATAAGGTCTAGTTTATTGAAACCACTAATAAAAGTCTTTCAAAAATCAAGTATCCTTTGAGTTGAGTTGTACTTCTGATGATATTCTGGATATGGTAGCATTATGGAAGCAGTTTGCCACTGCCTTTTTGTAATTTCTTGCAGCAAAACAGTACTTTCAGAAGTACTACTGGGGAGCAAAAAATGAAAGAAAAGGATGTTAAGTTCTTAGCTGATTGGTTGTTTTGTGGCTCTATTTCCTGATAACTCCCACATTTTGTAGACAATGTCAAAAATGGGCTGCAGTGGCTTAATATAGTCTGGACTGAAGATATTTTTTTCCTAAAATGACAGAAGAAAAACATCTGACCAAAGTTAACATCCTAAATTTTTATAGGATGGGAAAGGTAGTAAAATTTCTACGTTCAAATAAAGTCCATGATTACTCAGGCATGTTGATGCTGTTTTCTTGGCAATGATAGTGTAGAGTTTAATTGTAACACCTACTTGGGTGTTTCTTCAATGTCTTAATCTAATCACCAGTCCCGGGCTTTTCTGGAAACTTCCACCAACAGGTCAACTAAATTTGACTCTGGCTAGCTTTCTGAGATTAACCAAAGTCAGTGCTGCAGCCTAGTTAGGCATCTCATAGACACATCTATGAACTGGGCTAACTAAACTTCTAAAAGAAGATAATTTCATTGCTAGACTAGGTAACACTATCAGTCCTAGTGAGTGTAAGGTTTGTACCCTATTCCCTGCCTGGCTAGTATTGGGGTGGGTATATGTATGGCGTGTGTTATTTTTCCTGAGTAATCCTTGATTAGGGTATTGTTTTCTGCTAGATTGTTTGTTAATCCCTATTTACCTGGGTATAGACTGCTGGAGAGACTGTATTCTGGTCTGTTTCCTTTTTAACTTTTTAAAATAATATGTTCTGAATGATGTGACCATGGAGTTTACCTCTATGTGTCTTGTGGGAGAAGATTTCTCTGAATCGTAAGCTTCCAGGAATTGCATAGCATTTTTGTATTTAGCTTAGTCTAGGATGCTCACAGTTTTCCAGTTGAAACTACAGTACAATTGAGTCTGTCCAGGTTATTCTGAGATTAAGGAGTTTTGTCATGACTGCTAGTTAGTGTTCATGGATGTGCTCTGCTGGTCTTCAGTTCCTTTTCATAGGTTGCATTTGTTATGCTATTGTGTGTTCAGTGGTCAGGTATTTTTTGATAAATCTGATGAAAAAGTTAATTGAGCTAATTTAGTCCCAACCTGAGCTGGTTTGGTTTCAGATAAAATGAATCTCTTTGAGCTAATTTTCAGAATACTCTATGTAGTTTTTGGTGTTTGCATAACACACAACCTCAGCACTAGATTATCCACTAAATATTGGTGGGACTCCAAGAAGAA